CTCTCAGCAACTGAAGTTCAGGGATTCCTTCAAACACTCACTTTTTTGCCCAAACAAGGAGGATACTACTGGTTCCAGAGTCCAGTCCTTGCAGTCTTCCAGGGCATGAGTTTTGTAGTTGCAGCTGAACTGCCATTGATCATATAAACCTGATACAAACCAGTTAACCCAGTGAGTAGTCATGGCATAGGTAAGGCAAAGAAATGAGCTACCATGGATACTAACTTGACATTCGTCCCCTAAAGAAAAGGGTGTTTCTTTCAGGTCAGAGTGAGGTCCTTGACAAGGCAAATAGGGGGGGTTTATTTGTTCTTTAGATTCCTGCTTTGAGTGATTAACTTCTGAATAAACTAAAGAAATCAGTTTTTAGTAAAGGCTGAATCTCTCAGTAGTTATAGGAATAGCATTTAAACACACTAAAGAGGATCATGCAGTTCAATAGCCTGGGGATGCTTGTATCCAAAATACATAACATCAATAAGAATTTAATGTTTCCCTGGATTTATAAAAGTAAGGCAAATTTGACTTTCAAGACCTTCTTAGTAAAATTGAATGTAGGGAGATTAGTGAAAACACGGTCGCACCGTTTTCAGCTTTTAATCTTCTTGTGCTGAACTGTATGGGTACTCAGCACCTTACAGGATCAAGCTGTAATATAAATCAATAAAAAGGTGAACTCACATGTAATATATGCAGTATTTAGGTTTTGAAGGCATGCCACAGCTTCTTATAGCTAAGAATGATTTCTTTGTCCTTCTGGCCAATAAAAGTATATGATTTCAGGATGCTTGTTCAATATTTGTTTGCAACACTTTCCTTAGATATAAAGTGGATTTAAAAAAAAAAATATGTGAAATCGGTGCTTTTGAAAGCTGCCAGGTTGACAGCCACAGAGAATAAAATATTCTGTTTTATTAGCAGAACAGTCAGAGACTACCAAACTTATTTCACATGGAAAATTAGGGATTTGTTTTCAGAGAGAAATGTATCCCAGGTTTAAATCCATGAGTGAATTTACTCCTATTATTTTACTTGATTTGACATGCTAACCAGTGGCGCACACTCTATTCAGACACCCTGAATGTACCTGAACATACATGTCAGGTGGCATTCTAGATAATGGAGAGACATGGAGGAATATCCTCCACTGACAGAACAGGAGAGAATTGTAGTCTCAAGGACAACCAACAGTAAAGCAGATTCCTCATACTACCCACCAGTGTCTCAGCCTGGTTTACGGAAGATATCTCTTTATGAATCTTAACTTCTGTGTTAACATGGTGAGAAGGTTACCAAGCTGTGTTAAACTGTGGGGAAACAGGCCAAGAGTATCTCATTCATTTTGTGTACACTATTAATATTGAAAAGCCATCATGGCCAGGTACAGATATTACACTTTTACCAGTGTAAGTGATTGGAAACCGGTCTATACCCCTAACAGAACAGAAGTTAAGCACATACGGACTGGTTTAAAAACTGATTTAAACTACGTGCTTATAGAAAACTGCGTAAGTTAGATAGATTCTGCCTTGGGTTCTTTGAATGTCCATACCTAGCCTGTGGGGGTCACAGTTTATGGACACTTAACTTAATTTGATTTTTAACTGTGGACTTGAAGGTTAAGGATTATTTTATGGAGTTGTTAAAGTCCTGAAGTTCCCACAGTAAAGTTCTTTCCCAATGAAGATTCCCCTTCAAAACTATTCACCTTCAAATAGAGGCTTTTTATAGCCAAACTCATGCAATTAACGTATTGATTCCATAAAATATATTTCCAATTTTATCCTTTTTTCCCCTTGTAAATGCAGTTTAACTGTATCCAGCATCACAGATTCTGTTTTATTCTCTCTGCATTTCTCCTACCTTTATTACCCATTGTAGGGAGTCCAGGAAATCGGACAGATCTGAGTCAGATCCACAGGATTTCATCAACTCCTTCATTGTAGGTTACCTATTTTCTGCTTTAAAAAGGCACCCAATCAATCTCAATTCATCTTATGTGCTTCAAAGCGCCTCCTATTGCACTGCTCATTTCCACCCCAGCAGAAAGCAAGACCTTTGTAGCATTCCCATTTTCTTCTCACTCTTTCACCATCTCTGACCTCTATTGTTATAAAGAGGAAGAGATACTGAGATCACTCAGGAATAGTTTGTTTAAAACTTCACTTCCAACTAGTATGCATTGTATCCTTGCATTTTTTTCTGTAGATATTGTCTGTGATCTCTCAGTCTTGTTCTTTGCTGTGACTTCAGAGCCTAACCTGGAAATCATTACCAAGAAACAAGCGGAAAGTAAAGTTCAGCCACTAAAATGTTCACTTGTCAAACAAACATCCTTTCTTTTAAGCAGAAAGCTAAATCAGATAGGAAGCATGCCATTTCACTGTTTTAAAGGAGCCCCATTACCATTTTTGCCTTGTCTTATACTGGTCCTCTAAAAGATGTGAAGGACAAATTCAATAAGGGCTCATACTCTGGAACATAGTCATATCAAGGTTTTCCAAAGCGCAGTGTGGGATACAAGAGGGTTCAGCATGCTCTCCAGGCCTTGATGTGCAGTCTCTGGAAGTTGATAAGAGTCAGTTCACTGATATCAATTATCTTTGTTTCAGGTCCTGCAAAGGCTAACCGCAATTTGGCTCTTTCAAGCGTTGTGCTTTTCCTTGTGTGTTTTTATAGCCATCTATTGGTTGTAGAAGAGACAAAATGACTTTTCAATATCAGAGTTCTTTGATGGCAATTTATATGTCCATATGTTTAATATCCTCTAGTTGCAGATCATTAAATATATAGCCTCTGGATACATATATTGCTACACCCCCCTAACATTGTGTTTTGTAGGTTTTCTCACACGATGCCTTGCTTTTTGGCAAGGCTGGAGGCTGTTAGCTTCAGAAATTGTCCATTGAGCATTGTTATTGTATTGCCAGTTTTCAAAATTCCTGTTCACTTTTTGTGAGCATGCCCAAAGGCATGGCTTCTTCAAATTTAGCTGGAGCTGCTAGGGCCAGAGAAAGGACTCACGAGTCCCAAGAAACAGTGGTAGCAGGAGCAACAGCAGCAGCAACATCAGTGTGTGGGATACAGCATGATGTTCTAAGAGGCAGTATAAGCAAACTGGGGGCAGCTTAGCAGAATGTACAGGCAGTCCTCGGACATACGACACAATTGGTTCCTGAAAACTGCATCTTAAGTCGAAACGTTGCAACTTGGAACCGATTTTCTCATGAGAAACAATGTTATAAATGGAGTATTGGTTCCTGAACCAAGGCCCGATACCCTATTTTCACCAAAAATACCCTAGAATTTTGTACTCGATCAATTATAGATGAGTAATATAGCCGCATTAATGCATTTATATTGTAAATAGCAATCATATTGATTTGGAAGGACTTCTTTGAGGTGACTTTGCTGGACTTTTTGAAGGGCTCTTGGTTGGACTATTTGAAGGGTTCTTGGCTGGGGTCTTCTCAGGAGTCTTGGCTGCAGGTTTTTCTGGAGTCTTGTCTGCTTTCTTAAAGAAAGTGTCCAAAGAAGTTTGGACAGATGCTCTCCAGGGAGGTGGGTGACACAGCGAACTTGTTTGCTGTTATGGCGTCACATGGGATCAAGCGTTCTAAAGTCGAGACTGATGTGAGAAAGTTGAAATGGTGTCAATTTATAAACATTGTAAGTGTGAAACATTGCAACTCAAAACGTTGTAAGTTGAGGACTGCCTGTAATGCGAATGTTTGTACAGCCCTTTTAAGTGGGACATATGATGACAACTATTACATATTATAGATTTCATCCCATATACCTTGTGAGGTATGGAACATTTGGAATAGAACAGGTAAAAAAATTCATAAATGTCAATAGCTAGTCAAAATCTCTATACCAGTGTTGCTCAACCTTTTTGCCCAGCAGGTCAAATGGGGCATAAGCTGTGTAGGGGGCAGTGACAGCCTGGCCCCTATTCAGCTGCCCAGGGGAAGGGGGCTTGGCCTGGCCTGGCCCCAACCCAGCTTCTGGGGAGCAAAGGGAGGGAGCATGATCTAGCCTTGATCCAACCTTCTCACGGGAAGGGGTTTGGCCTGGCCCCAATCTGACTGTGCAAGGGGGAAGGGAGGGTAGCCCAATCCCAGCATGCAGCAGGGCTTGGGTATTTGGCCACAGGGGGAGGATTGTGGTATTAATTGCCTCTCCTTCCCTACCGCCAAATTTGCCAGCCCATGGGGAGCCCTGTGGGTCAGATGCTATAGCTCCATAGACTCCATTTTCCCCCAGGCCATAGATTAACAAAATTAAGAGCACGTCTGCTGTATACATTTACAAAAACATCCAAAAAACCCCTGACTGAACTTTTAAAAAATATCTGTGATACAGTGAGCAACACTAATTTGAGGGAGTGATGTGTGGTATGCTATTTAAAATGAAGAACGTTTTTTAAAAAATCACTTACTGTCATTAGAAATCGGCTCCAAAATGAACATCTGAATAACTACAGCCTACGTGTATTAACTTAGTTTTTGGATCTAAATTTTGCAATTTGAACCCATCCCTAAGTATAATGTACCAGTCCCACAGCTAGCATTATAAGCAGACAAGCATTATAAGCTATCAAGCATTGGTCACAATTCCTGTTCTAGTGCCCATCGGAGACGTATGGTAGGCTGTATTCTTGGACAGAGAGAGATGTGGAAGCTGGACTACTCATTACACAATATGGAACGTGGACATTTATTTTTCCAGGCAATTTTGTCTATCATGAAAACATGAATTCTGGTGACTGGCTAGGAAAAAGAGAAATCCCTTTTAAGTTTAAACATATTTCACATAATCCTACCATTATCTCCAGCACGCTCTCATATACCCTGCACTGTGAATAAATAATAATTGAATTTTACACCTGCTAAATATGAAAATCTGTTTAAAGAAAGATTTCAACTGAAAAAAAAATGTCTGTTTTAAGGCCATTTGTAACTATTTTACTCTAAAAGCCTTCATGTTTTATCTTTTAGCCATGAGACACAAACCACCTGCTGGGATCATCCCAAAATGACTGAGCTCTACCAGTCTTTAGGTAAGAAAGATTTATTTTTGCAATTAAATGAATTGTTAAGAATAAAGATTTCCTGGGTACAACAGACGTTAAAGCTTAGTGAAAGTGAGACACATTACAGGCCATCCTGGAATTAAGATCAGGTTTTATTCAGAGCAACATAGAAAGAAAATTAAAATCTTTAATTTAAATATCAATAAATGCATGGAGTCTGGGATATGTAGTGGTCTAATTCATAAATATGTAATGCAGGTGCCTTTTGCAGATTCTTTACCTAGAAAATTTGAACCCAGACATCTGAAAAACAAAGTAGTCCCAAGCCTTTATACAGCCTGTCTATCTATATGGCAAAGACAAAGAGAAAAAATAAGCCAAGATACTATTAAGTTGATATTTGGCTGGTTGAAGGCCAGTCTAAATCATTTGCCAAATATTTTACCATATATTCTTTTGGCAATGTTTTTAATACTTGGTACTCATGGTAACTGTTATGATGTCATTTTGAGAATACAAATTTCTTGCCTTGCCTACTGTAACTTCATACATGCCTGTTGGCTGCTTTTTTTGTTTTGGGAAATTTTTGTTGTTTTCTCTCTGTGTGTGTATGTGTGTGTGGTTATATATTTGGGCTTTATTAACAGGGGCACAGCTGTGACAAAGTGGGTTTTTCCATGTGCCAGCATGGGCCATCTTTCAGAGTTCAACTTGTTGGTTTCTACCCGATTTTAATGGTCACTGTTGATATCAATTAGGGGACATCATCAAAAATGAACATTTTTTTCCACTTAAAACAGAAATTCATAAATATTTTACACTTGTATAGAAACGTATATAACAATGCAGTTTGCAGTGCAAAAATAGAGATAGGCGGCACTTCTCTTTAGAATATAATAATGTGTGGCATTTTTATAAATATTGTAAAATAAAACTGTATGCATAAAAAAAACCCCAGTGCATAAATTACAGTTAACTGAGGGCACAAGTCAAACAAGTGTTTTCTGGCCATTTAGATAGAACATAATACCAGTGTCACCTCCTTAATATTTCCATTCCTCAAATGAATGGTTTACAACATTTAGGACAAATAATGAATATGTTTCTGAAATGCAAATTCCTTTTAGTGATGCATTGGTCTCTACACAGTTTGGAGCTTATCAGAACGATATTCATACTATCCAGCTTCTTTGGTGTGGAAATCACATGAAATTCCTCATATTGTTGCTGGTCAGGCCTGAAATACCATGGAAACAGCTTTTCTTGTGGTATTTCCTCCAGTTCAGCTGGGTTACTGTTGAAAACAAGAGCTAAAGAGGTACATATAAATGAAAAGAAAAAATGTTCTGCTTTAGTTTAATTCAAGGGGGTGGGTGTGGGTTCATGCCAGTTCTTATTTTAACAATGCTTGTCCACCACCATGAATATTAAGTGTTAAAACTCTTTTTAAGACAATGACTCCTTTTACTTCCAATTTATTTCCAATGTTTTGTTTTGTTTCTCCCATGGGAGCTATCTTTTAATTTTCCTTCCTTTCTTTCCCCATTTAAATAACTATATTAAATGAATAGGTGTGAGACGCACATTTTGGGTATCTCTAAAATGGCAGTTACCTTCTTGGCAAATATTTTACCTCTGCTTGGGATGATGGGGCAAAAGTCCTGATTACTTTGATACCCTGTAGATTTTAGGTTTGAATACCTGATTTGTATGTATTTTTAGGATTAAACCAGGTGGTGGCATATGGGAATAAAATAGGCCTGGAACAAGGTTTTCTTTATACATCCTCCTGTATAACGAAGCACTGACAAAATGCTGCTGAGGAACCTGCAGAGGTTTTTCGAATTGGGTATATTCATCACAGCGTAACTCGTAAAAATTGTATAATACAAGCATAACCCATTTACTCTTGAATAGAACCCTTAATGTGTTTTCTGTGCTTTGCTTTGCCTCAGGTCAAATCTGGTAATAATGGGATGTTTGAAGTCTTTTCAGACTGTTAGGTAACATTTTATGTGAAAAAATACTATTAGAGTAGATTTTGCATTGCATACTTGTTAGCTCCTATTATTTTCCCCCACATAAAGATCTAAATTTTGTTTCTCATTCATGTGAAGGAGTTTTACTAGAGAACTTCAGCTGTTTTCTTTCAGGCTACACGGTATTGTAAAAGTACAGAAGAACATATGGATTTCATAATCCAGGTACATACAATAGGATAATTGAGACCAAGCCCATCTCCCCTGTCAGAGTTTTCCTGGCCATTTTTCAAATTCATACCTTTCGCTTCAGGGAACAATCTTTCTGAATGATGTAGCTCATTCTCATTGTACATCCAAAATGTTGACTGATGAGATGCCTTTCCATAAAGGTAGCACATTTTTATTTTGGTTCTAATACATCATAACTTGTGAGACAATCCTTTTGTTTAACCTACCTTCTTGTGAATTTCTGAGGGTATAATTGTTTGCAATGACTGAAGAAAAAATAACACACATCTTGGGACATGTCTCCTCTTATGGCCTTCATCTACAAAGGACATATAGGTAAAATGGGAAGCAGTAGGATTTGGGGAGGAGGTTGTTAACCCATTTTCCTCATAGATTCTTGAAAGTTAATAAATAAATTTTTGACCCATGACAGGATTTCCAAGTTCCAGAATGTATTTCCTTTAGTATTTTTCTAATATTGCCAAGGACATCTGTTTCTTGTTTTGGATGCTTGCAAAAATTAAGATAAAGTGACTATTTATAGTTAGCTTTAGTTAGACAATTACATTATACAGCTAATAAACATGGGAACATGGTACTGTCAGAAAAGATCAGCTTGCTTGCCCTTCTAGTCAAGTATCCTGTCTTTTCCGAGGACACAGAAAAATCCCATAGTAGGTAATTATAGAATAGCCTGCCCACAAGGGAAGTTTCTTCCTAACTGCTTCAAGCTCATGCACTGAAGCATTGCAGTCTAATAATGATAATTGGTAATAATTGTAATATATTTGGTTTGAATTTTAACAAGGATGTAATACATCTCCTATTTCCCTCATTGGTGGTTGTTTCAGGTAAAGATTCTTGCTTGTGAGTTATTTTTAAGAGCTTTTGCTAGACTATTTTTCCCATTATTTAAACAAAGTACACATTTCATCACTGAGAGATTTCTTATTTATTTCATTAAGTGCCTGTTCATGGCCCTAGATGTGGTATTTTTCACTCTTCTTGTAAAGTTACCATGTCTCATAAGCAGCCTATCAACACTAAATGGCTTTTTTGTTTGTTTCATAATCACATTAAAGTGGCACTAAGTAGCTGAGATAATGACCTCAGCTACATCACTTAAATTGCTACTAGATGTTCATCCTTTAGTTATGTAAATTCAGTATGTGGGAAAAGCTAATACTGTAATGGAAAAGGTAGTAAAAATTAGTGATGCATGAATCTAAAAAGGTTTAGAGGTATGATTCAGATAAACATTCCAGTTTGGATGCACATCACTAAAGACAAGTGTCTGCCCCGCTCTCCATTATTCCAGCAACTGTTTTAACTGCTTTCCATTCCACTTCTTCACCTTGTTACCGCTTTAAGCCTATTACTCACTCACCCTCCAATTTAGATTTTCCCACTTCTCAAAATCTCTGGTTTACCTTTGCTATCTTCCAGAATGCAAGAAGCAGAACTTTTCAAAGGAAAAAAAAAATTGCTTAATTCTTCAAGATTATTTTTTTAAATGGAACATTACATTGAAAGCAGACTGGGTGTTCTTCAATTGCAGAAGGCAGGGTAGATTTGCACCTTATAGACTAAATCAGAGATGTATAGTATAAGCTTTAAGGCTAGGGACAGAAATTACACATCGACTGATTTAACTTGTAGGATTACCATATTTCCAGGAACAAAAAAGAAGACACCTGTGGGAGGGGAAGAGGGGGAGGGGTATATGACTGGGGGGACAGTGATATGCCTGTGCCCTGCCCCTCACTCCTAAGCCCCTGCCCCCCCAGTGCTTCCAGTGCCCCTCACTCCCGACCCACAGCCCCTGCCCATGGCCCTGCCAGTGCCTTTCACTCCCGACCCAGAGCCCCCAGCCCCAGCCCTGCTACCTACGTAGTTACTGCCTGTGTGTGTGCACATGCACACATGCACACACACACTTCCTGGGGCCCGCGTGCAGAGCCAATCACCTTGCCTGCTGCTCCCAGCCCCAACTATGCAAGCTGCTCATGCCTGGGAGGATTGCCCCTCACTCCCGACCCACAGCCCCTGCCCATGGCCCTGCCAGTGCCTTTCACTCCCGACCCAGAGCCCCCAGCCCCAGCCCTGCTACCTACGTAGTTACTGCCTGTGTGTGTGCACATGCACACATGCACACACACACTTCCTGGGGCCCGCGTGCAGAGCCAATCACCTTGCCTGCTGCTCCCAGCCCCAACTATGCAAGCTGCTCATGCCTGGGAGGATTAGAGGCAAAGCAAAAACCTGGATATCTGTTTGCATTTTGAAAACCCACCCAGACACAAGGACACTGGGCCAAAAAATAGGACGTCCAGAAAAACCTGGACGTATGGTAACCCTAGTTTAAGTGAGCAGAAACTTGCTTAAACTGTAACAGAACATAAGTTCAGTGCTCATAAATTGGTTTCAAAATGGCTGAAACCAGTTTGAGATAAACCTGGTTGGATGTAGTATCAGACCTAAGTGACTGAGGTCAAACCAGTTTAATGAACTTCTGTCCCAGACCCCTTCCTAGTTTAAGTTAACCCAGAGTCCACTAGCATCCCAGCATGCACTGTAGCCCTGGGCTGGGCTGTGCTCTCTGCTCCAGTGGAACAGGGCTGGCCTCACCCCTCTGCTCTCTAGCCCGAGCAGGGGTGGGAGCATGGCCAGATGCTGGCTCCCCTAAGGTGAATGAAGGAGGGAAGATGCTTATTCCCTGCCTCCCTCCCCTGTCCCATAGCACAGACCCCAGCAGGGGTCTGCCAGGCAGGGACATAGCAGCTCACTGCCAGGCATTTCTCCACTTGCTGCTCCAGT